GGAGGGACGGCGCAGGAGAGGAAGGCCCTCTATGAGGTGGATTGATTCAGTGACTGGGATAATTGGGATGGGAGTGTCGGAGACAGTGCGATTGAAACAGGATAGAGCGGAGTTTAGGGCTGTTGTACATAGGGTCGCTATGAGTCACAGGCGACTCGACGGCACATAACAACAACAACAACAACTGGACTTGGCAGGATCCTGGCTGACAAACTGCAGTCTGAGAGCATGTAGATATGAAAGTTGTCAGGATCACAACACAGAGCTTTGCAAGCTGTTTGCTTGTGTAGTGCCTGGATGCCTGCTCTCTTTCTGAAGAAATCATTGAACTGAACTGGCTTTGATTTCTATAATTAAGTTCACGGTCATCTGAATCTACCTAATTCTGAGGAGCATAATAGTAAGATTTGATATAGAAATTAGAGGGAGAAACTAAGGCGATAGGACAAGCACTCTGAGGTGATATTAGCCATGGAGTCAGAACCACTCCTTGCTGACTCTTTGACGGGTTTTCAAGGCTGTAAATCACTTAGGAGGAGATTATTCATTGGTCTCCCTGGAGCTGGTGGATTACATTTGCCAGAGTGAGGAAGCTTTTGGGTCAGGAGTGCAATTCCGTCCACACTACACCACCACCTGAGTTAGGACAAGATAATTATGGGGTTCTTGAAAGAGAAAGGAAAGGTAAGTGGTCTAGTCCATAAGGATTTGTGCTTGAAACCTAAGGGTTATGCCTCTCAGGTGGTTCAAATCCACCATTCCAGTGACTCCATGGGAGAAAGATGGGCAATCTCCTCTGTGTGATTTATAGCCCCTGAAAACCTGAATGGTCGGTTCTGACTTGAGGATGATGAGTTGAGTTTACATCTGAAGTTGTAGGTTGTTTCCTCCTGGCCACCCAGAATCAAATAGTGCTCTTAGAAAGAGACAATCAGGCGAGAATCGCTGGGTAAGAGCTGCTGGGCAAAAGCTGCTGGGCGAGAGCTGAACAACTGGAATTTGAGTAAGGACCCCACACATGCCTGTCTCACTCCCCATGCCCATTTGGCCCCTGTTCAGCTCCACACCTGTGCTTCCAAGTTCAGTCAACTTTAATCCAGAGTGCCTTGATCTGATTTAGCTACAAGAGGCTGCTCTCACAGGCCCTGAACTGAACCTTCCTGTGGGTCAGAAGTTCATAGAGAAACACAGGTGGGGTAGCTGCCCCACCCTTTTCTAGAGTAGTGTCTTCAGATCAAGAACCTATCTTCACCTCAGGCATGAAAAACTCTACCACAGCAATGTCACATAAGAAGCAGGCTACCTCACACCTTACAGGAGCTTAAAGCAAGATGTCACCCCCAAAAGGTGACACAGTACCAATGGATTTCCTGAAGCCAGAAAGTATGATAGAACTTTCTGACACAGAATTTAAAAGAATAATGATTGAATACTTTCACTGGGTGAAAGACAAACCTGAAGAATTCCAGGACACTGCAGGCAAAAACCAAGAGGAGCTTAAAAAAGCAATTCAGAACAATGCAGATAAAACAAATGGGGCATCACTTCATCAAAGAAGACATTCAGATGGCAAACAAACACATGAAGAAGTGAGTATTCAAAATCACTAGCTCTCAGAGATGCAAATCAAAACAACTATGAGACATCATCTCACCCCAGTTGCTGTTGTTGTTAAGTGCTGTTGAGTCGCAGGTGACTCATAAAAACCCTATGAAAGAGAGTTGTCTATGCCTGGGTGTCTTTCATCCTCTCTCCAGCTTCATAGGGTTTCTGGAGGCAAGCTATTATGGACGTGGATGCCACTCCTCCTTCCAAGCTTGTTTTAATCGGGGCGCTCCACCCCACTCTCTGTCTGTCTTGGGTGACCATTAACACATATGACACATCAGTGTCACAGTGTTCAGCCTCACAGCAACCACAAGTTATCGCTGTACGGCAACTTGTACACCAGGGCTATACGATCTAGAGACCCTTCAGTGTATTACCAACCTGGCACACCAAAATGCTGGCAAACTCCTTGTCCCAGACTCACAGTTCATCAGGCAAGTCTGCTCTGCCAACCCCCATGTGGGGCAAAAAGAACCCCACAAGTGCCCAGAGCCCTCAAACCTGTCGCACCTCAAGAAGCCAGAGTCCAGATTCAGCTGACACTGAATCTCCCTCTCACCCCAGTAGGAATAGGAAATTCAATAGAGCGGCAAACAACAAGTGCTGGTGAGGTTGTGGAGAAACTAGAACCCTTATTCACTGTTGGTGGGAATGTAAAATGGTGCAACTACTGTGGCAAGCAGTATGGTGCTTTCTCAAAAGGTTGCAAACAGAAATAGCATTTGACCCAGCAATTCCACTACTGGGAATATACCCTAAAGAAAGCATAACTGTCAACCAAGCAGATATATGCACACTCATTTTTACTGCTGCTTTGTTAACAACAGCAAAGAGTTGCAATCAACCAACTGCCCATCAACAAACAAATGGATAGAGAAGCTGTGGTATATTCACACAATGGAATACTACGCTGCATTGAAAAACAAGGCACTAATGAATTATTATTATACAAAATGAGTGACCATGGAGGACATCATGCTGAGTGAATTATCTCGGACACATAGGGTCTAATGCTGCATAATGCCAGTCTTGTAAAGCGGGAGTTACATCGGGGCTGAGGGGAGACTGAGAAAAGAGGGGATAAATAATGTATACTGCATTAAAACAAATGAGGGAGAGAACAGTTTAAAAGGAATTTATGATTAGGTACTATTTTCATGAAAAGATTCCAGAAAAAGAAATACATAAGTAAAGTGGACTGTGGACTTGGTGGGAGTTGGGCATTGTAAACAATGAAAGATTGTTTTTTTTTTCTTTTCAAAGAGAAAAGTGAACTGGAGAGAGAAATGGGCAGGGAGGAAAGTATGCAACAATGAATGAATGGGGTAAAAATTTAAAGGGAAAAAGTTATGTTGTGTTGAAAAAACTCCCAAGCAAACCCAAATAAACCCAAATGAGGCATTAGAGGCACTGGAAAAACAAGAACTCACAGTCCAAAATATGAGGTCCAATGTTTCAGATGCTGTCAACATGATGGAAGACACATGAACAGAGCTGAAGAGATGGAACACAGGACCAGTGAAATAGAAGATAAAATTGTCACCACTGATTTGTGAGAGCGAAAAAGCAGAATCAAAAAGGAAGGAAAAAAGGAAGAAAACCTAAGACTAATGTGAGACACCATCAAGAGAAATAACATGCGCATCAATGGAATCCAGAACAGGAAGAAACAAGTAAAGGCACCGAAAAAGTTGTGGAAGAATTACTAGAGGAAAACTTCTTAGGCATAACAAAGAATGAGGGAATATATATTCAAGAAGCTGAGCAAACACCATATAGAATAGAGCCCAAAAGAAAAACAGGCATCTCATAGTCAAATTTGCCAGAACCAAAGATAAGGAGAGAATTCTGAAAACAGTGAGGGAGAAAAAAAGAATAACCTTTAAGTGAGAGCACATAAGATTAAGAGCTCTCAGCAGAAACCATATAAGCAAGAAGACAGTGAATGACATATATCGAACACTCAAAAAACACAACTGTCAACCAAGAATACTGTACCCAGCAAAACTGTCCATCAAATATGAAAGAGAGATCAAGATATTCCCAGAAAAACAGAACCTAAGGGAGCGTGTAAAAACAAGACTAGCATTGAAGGAAACACTGAGAGATGTCCTTCTTT